TATTGCCCCATCATTGGTATCAGTGGCAGGAATAGTGCCCCATCATTGGTGTCAGTGGGAGGAATAGTGCCCCATCATTGGTGTCAGTGACAGGAATAGTGCCCCATCATTGGTATCAGTGGGAGGAATAGTGCCCTACCATTGGTATCAGTGGGAGGAATAGTGTCCCATCATTGGTATCAGTGGGAGGAATAGTGCTCCATCATTGGTGTCAGTGAGAGGACTAATGCTCCATCATTGGTATCAGTGGGAGGAATAGTGCTCCATCATTGGTGTCAGTGAGAGTAATAATGTCCCATCTTTGGTGTCAGTGAGAGGAATAGTGCCCCATCATTGGTATCAGTGGGAGGAATAGTGCTCCATCATTGGTGTCAGTGAGAGGACTAGTGCTCCATCATTGGTATCAGTGGGAGGAATAGTGCCCCATCATTGGTATCAGTGGGAGGAATAGTGCCCCATCGTTGGTATTAGTGGGAGGAATAGTGTCCCATCATTGGTATCAGTGGGAAGAATAGTGCCCCATCATTGTTATCAGTGGGAAGAATAGTGCCCAATCATTGGTGTCAGTGGGAGGAATAGTGCCCCATCATTGGTGTCAGTGGGAGGAATAGTGCTCCATCATTGGTGCCAGTGGGAGGAATAGTGCTCCAACATTGGTGCCAGTGGGAGGAATAGTGCCCCATCATTGGTGTCAGTGGGAGGAATAGTGCTCCATCATTGGTGCCAGTGGGAGGAATAGTGCTCCAACATTGGTGCCAGTGGGAGGAATAGTACTCCATCATTGGTATCAGTGACAGGAATAGTGCCCCATCATTGGTGTCAGTGGGAGGAATATTGCCATATCATTGGTATCAGTGGGAGGAATAGTGCCCCATCATTGGTGTCAGTGGGAGGAATAGTGCCCCATCATTGGTATCAGTGGGAGGAATAGTGCCCCATCATTGGTGTCAGTGGGAGGAATAGTGCCCCATCATTAGTATCAGTGGGAGGAATAGTGCCCCATCATTGGTATCAGTGGCAGGAATAGTGCCCCATCATTGGTGTCAGTGACAGGAATAGTGCCCCATCATTGGTATCAGTGGGAGGAATAGTGCCCCATCATTGGTATCAGTGGGAGGAATAGTGCCCTATCATTGGTATCAGTGGGAGGAATAGTGCCCCATCATTGGTATCAGTGGGAGGAATAGTGCCCCATCATTGGTGTCAGTGGGAGGAATAGTGCCCCATTGTTGGTGTCAGTGGGAGGAATAGTGCCCCATCATTGGTGTCATTAGGAGGAATAGTGCCCCATCATTGATGCCATTAGGAAGAACAGTGTCCCATCATTAGTGTCAGTGGAAGGAATGGTGCCCCATCATTGGTGTCAGTGGGAGGAAGTGCCCCATCATTGGTGTCAGTGGGAGGAATAGTGTCCCATCATTCGTGTCAGTGGGAGGAATAGTGTCCCATCATTCGTCTCAGTGGGGGGAGTAGTGCCCCATCATTGGTGTCATTAGGAGGAATAACACCACATCATTGGTGTCACTAGGAGGAATAGTGCCCCATCATTTGTGTCAGTGGGAGGAATAGTTCCCCCTATAAATGGTAGTCGGAGGAACAGTGTCCCATAATAAGTGTCAGTGGAAGGAATACTGCCACATTATTGGTGTTATTAGGAGGAATAGTGCCCCTTCATGAATGTCAGTAGGAGGAATAGTGCCCAATAATTGGTAGTGGGAGGAATAGTGTCCCATCATTGGTATCAGTAGGAGGAATAGTGCCCCATCATTGCTTTCAGTGGGAGGAATAATGTCAAATCATTGGTGTCAGTGGGAGGAATAATTCCCCATTGATGGTGTCAGTGGGAGGAATAGTGCCTCATTATTGATGTCTATGATAGAAATAAAGTCTCATCTTTGGTGTCAGAGGGAGGAATAGTGCCCCGCTGTTGGTGTCAGTACGAGGAATAATGCCCCATCTTTGGTGTGAGTAGAAAGAATAGTGCCCCATCGTTGGTGCCAGCAGGAAGAGGAGTGCCCCACTATTGGTGTCAGTGGGAGGAATAGTGCCACATGGCTAGTGTAAGTGGGAAGAACAGTGCCCTTTCATTGGTTTTGGTGAAAACAGTGCCGCATTGTTGGTGTCAGAAGGAGGAAGAGTGACCCATTGTTGGTGTCAGTGCCCCAAGGGCAGGATAAAGACAAGCAAAAGGCCACATCTAGCCCCTGGGCTGCACTTTGGAGAGCACTGCTCTAGATAAGTCTTTGTCAATCTGGGTTCCTTCAGAAGTTTGCTGGGAGTTCCTTGAACATTGAACAATGCCTGCCTCTCAGATGAGTTCCTACTGGCACCAATGATCATTTTAGCTATCTTAAAGAGGGATCTTTTTCCCAATGACCACAAAAGTAAGGAGCATCCTTCCCAGTGACCTTCACACTAACGTACCCTGAGCTTTAGTTTGGAGAGCACTGATCTAGCACTGAGCACTGATCACTGATCTAGACAAGTCTTTCTCAATCTGGGTTCCTTCAGAAGTTGTTGGGGGTTCCTTGAGCATCGAACAATGCCTGCCTCTCAGATGAGTTCCCATTGGCACCAATGATCATTTTAGCTATCTTAAAGAGGGATCTTTTTCCCAATGACCACAAAAGTAAGGAGCATCCTTTTTAGTGACCTTCACACTAACGTACCCTGAGCTGTAGTTTGGAGAGCACTGATCTAGCACTGAGCACTGATACCTGATCTAGACAAGTCTTTCTCAATCTGGGTTCCTTTAGAAGTTGTTGGGGGTTCCTTGAGCATTGAACAATGTCTGCCTCTCAGATGAGTTCCCATTGGCACCAATGATCATTTTAGCTATCTTAAAGAGGGATCCTTTTCCCAATGACCACAAAAGTAAGGAGCACCCTTCCCAGTGACCTTCACACTAACGTACCCTGAGCTGTAGTTTGGAGAGCACTGATCTAGCACTGAGCACTGATCACTGATCTAGACAAGTCTTTCTCAATCTGGGTTCCTTCAGAAGTTGTTGGGGGTTCCTTGAGCATTGAACAATGTCTGCCTCTCAGATGAGTTCCCATTGGCACCAATGATCATTTTAGCTATCTTAAAGAGGGATCCTTTTCCCAATGACCACAAAAGTAAGGAGCACCCTTCCCAGTGACCTTCACACTAACGTACCCTGAGCTGTAGTTTGGAGAGCACTGATCACTGATCTAGACAAGTCTTTCTCAATCTGGGTTCCTTTAGAAGTTGTTGGGGGTTCCTTGAGCATTGAACAATGCCTGCCTCTCAGATGAGTTCCCATTGGCACCAATGATCATTTTAGCTATCTTAAAGAGGGATCTTTTTCCCAATGACCACAAAAGTAAGCAGCACCCTTCCCAGTGACCTTCACACTAATGTACCCTGAGCTGTAGATACAGTAATTATTACAAGGGTTCCCCGAGACTAGGATGTTATTTAGAGGTTCCGCTGTGTTCTAAAACGTTGAGAAAAGCTGTCCTAGATGACACCACTTTGCGTTGTCGTGTCGTGCTCTGTTTTTCTTTACATTTATTTAAAAAAAAAAACTTTAATGAGAACTTCCAGAATAATAAATGAGACCCACAATGGAGTTAAGTCAGAATGAATTTTATTGGAAGACCTGAGCTGAAATGTGCTTAACCCGACCTCTGCCCAAGGGGCACTCAGGGCCCGCACCCACCACAAACCGAGTCTGCACCATACCACTAGTCATTTATACCTTTCAAAACATCCTTTCCCTTCAGTAAGTACTGGCAGAAATATAATATTACTAGCTTTGTCTTATATATTTATATATAAACAGGAAACATTTATACACCTATAATACACAGTTATATAATAAAATAAATATGGCTAAAAGAGGGGGTTGCAGTTGATTTTCTGCTGGGGGGGGGGGGGTGATGCCATGCTCTTAACTCTCCTCAGTTTTACTTACAGCTTCAGAAGTCACTCACAATTGTACAAGTGCAATATTCGAGCTGTTTGGCACCCTGATCAATTGACTTGACGTAGGCTGGGATGGGTGAGCAACAACATACTAAGCAATCCAATCCTCCCATTGCTTTCTGGTCTTTGGTATAGATCAGTTGTGTCTCATTGGATTAATTCGTTGATTTGATTGATTGTTTTCTTACACTTTATTGAGTGCACTACCCTGGCATTGAGTCGCGGAGTTAATCTGTATCGTTGTACCAAAACCTAAGTCTATATATATATTATATAACAGGTTTGTTATTTACTTGGGGGTAAACGTGACTTTCTTTGGCCTTCATCTCTTCTCATTAGTTCATAAACGTGCTAGTCTTAGAGAATCGGACTTTATGTAGGTATCAAAAGTCTTAGTTTAGGTGTAAGGTCTTGGTTTCATCTCCTTTCCGCTGGAAGATCCCGCTGTGGGTAAACATTTGGATTACAGTTCCTCCTTTGGTTAGTACCTTGGAAATTTAAACACAAGCAAACCAGACCTCTCAGTTCATTCGAGGTTCTACAAGTAGACCACATATGTCTGGTAGCTATTAACTGCGCTATGATCTGGCTACTGCACTCTGCTAAGCAGCTGTTTGAACATTGAATAACGGAAGGCCAAATAGATGTCCAGATGTCTACGGCTTAACCGGAAAAGGCCTGTTCACTTAAGTTTTGGTTCTGTTCGACGGTTATTCGTGCAGATACTGTTATGGTACCGTTGGATCGACTGAGTTCTTTCTACAACTCAAGATACGCACCACAAGCTGGTTTAAGTGCAGATTTGCCTAGCCATTTTTGAGATCTTCCGTATGTTTGGTCAACTAGGCCAAGTCGGAAAGAAAAAATACACACCAAATTTATGATGCAAGAATACATATAAAGTAGAGAATTTCTGGAATCAGTGTTGTGATCGATAGAGTGACCCAGCTTTATAATATGTTTTATATACCCATTGTTGGTCAACGTTCTACGCAAAGCCAGATCATTACTCCATCCTTATACATTCCTTCAAATATCGTCTGTGCTCTTCAGCTTTCCAGCTGCAGAATATTCATTGGATAAAACTCATTCTCATTCAGGATCATTTGACCTAGCTGGTAAAGGAATTGGCTATACCAGTGAAAGCCCACCTGCTGGGATGCCTCACTTCCTGCCATCACCCCCAGATTGTACAGTACCCGTAAAGGCCAAAAAGCTAACTGTGCCAGTTTCTGTTTTTGTACCAGGGCAAAACAAGAAACTATCACATCATCCACCAATATTGTCCCATGCTGAGTGAGTGGAGCATAGATCCCTTTTTCTCTTCGCATACTCAGTGAGGTTACTTTAGCTGGCACAAGGTGACCAGATGCTCCAGATACTAAAATGTATTGGCCAGGTCTTACATGTCTGGCAAACACCGCTTTGTAGTCAGCGGCTGGTGTGGAAAAATTGTCCGCCACGAAGATGAGATGAGTTGAGGTTAAAGAAAGTGTTCGAGGGGGCTCCATAGTTTTGATCACTCGGAACAAATTCTCCGCTCTAGGATCTCGGTCTAAAAAGGTCACAAAGTCACTGTAGGTAGGGCGCCCGTAACTGTCCATGGCCAAGACTCGCATGCCAGGGTGGAGTGCCGAAACTTGAATTTTCCCACCCGATTCTAACGTGGCCATCGCTGTTTCTGGGAAGCAGCCTCCAGTCTTTGCTGCGGCAGAATGCTCTGGATAAAGGAAGACAAACAGACTGTCAGAGGAGGACCAGCATGACAAAATGAAAAAGTCACATGTTAACAAATATAGCTACATATGATCAAATATATATATGTCTTTAATACTACTGTAGGCTAGCTCAGGGTTTCTCAACCAGGGTTCCTCCAGAGGTTGCTGGAGGTTTCGGGAGCAATGAGCAATTTCTGCTTCTCAGATAGGTTCCCACTGACACTGCCGATCTTTATAGCTATCTGTAAGGGGGAAATTCTTCCCAATGACCACCAGTGTAAGGAGCATTCTCCCCACTGACCATCACATCGATCTTTTTAGTAATCTGTAAGGGGGAAATTCTTCCCAATGACCACCAGTGTAAGGAGCATTCTTCCCACTGACCATCACATCGATCTTTTTAGTAATCTGTAAGGGGGAAATTCTTCCCAATGACCACCAGTGTAAGGAGCATTCTTCCCACTGACCATCACATCGATCTTTTTAGCAATCTGTAAGGGGGAAATTCTTCCCACTGACCACCAATGTAAGGAGCATTCTTCCCACTGACCATCACATTGATCTTTTTAGCTATCTGTAAGGGGGAAATTCTTCCCAATGACCATCAGTGTAAGGAGCATTCTTCCCAATGACCACCAATGTAAGGAGCATTCTTCCCACTGACCATCACATCGATCTTTTTAGCTATCTGTAAGGGGGAAATTCTTCGCAATGACCACCAGTGTAAGGAGCATTCTTCCCACTGACCATCACATCGATCTTTTTAGCTATCTGTAAGGGGGAAATTCTTCCCAATGACTACCAGTGTAAGGAGCATTCTTCCTGTGGACCATCACACTAGTGTATCATGAATTGTAGATATAGTCAACAGGGGTTCCCTAGAGCTAGGTTCACATATGTGCGGGTGGTGCCACTGCGGATCTGCACAAAAATCCACCCACACAGAAGAATGCGGACCCGCGGGTGGGTGCCATTAGTTCTAATGGCACGCCGCCCGCACTGGATATCACAACCGTACTGGGATCCGAGGTTCCCAAACGGGCTGCGTTTTCAGAAGAAGTGCAGGGAATTCCTCCCTGCGTGTCCCGGGGTGCGGGAGGCCATTCAAATGAATGGGCTCTCGTGCCCGCACAAAACACAGCCCACAGGAACACGGATATGTGAACCAGGGGTAAGAAAGTTATTTCAAGGGTTCCTCTTTGTTGAAAAGGTTGGGAAAGGCTGGCCTAGCTACTATTTTAGTCTAATGCGGCTCCAAAGGGAAAGTCAGTAGCTTCCTATCCTCCTTTATTTTAAACATTTGACAATTTGAAACATATTTTTTTTTAATTCAACATTAAAAATAAAAAAAAAAAAACATATTTTGCATGACCGTTGGTTTATGCAACTTTCATAATTGTAATACAAAAACAAAATTTATTGCATGCATTGTATGGTGGTAAGTTGTTGAAAATCTTAACAGACTGACATTCAAACACTCAGCAGTAAGTAACAAGGTGACGTAGCGAATGACACAGTTGTGTTGAAACCAGTCTCTTTTTAGTTCATTAAAAAAAATAAATTGCAATCCCGCAGTTATTCCAGAGAAAGGAACCCACTAAAGTAGATCTATGGCCTCCCAATAATGCAAGATATGTGCTGCTGCACTTAATTATAAGTCCATCGCAAAGTCCCATAATGACCTGTTGATCCTGCCAGTAAAACATATCCATTGCAGCTTCCTGTGATGGGGTGGCAACGATGCTGCACTGCTCAGAGCAGGGTTGTCACTCTCATATAGGCTGAGCTTTCTTGCACTACAGTGGGATTGAAGAATTTTGCAGGAGGCATGGCTATCAGCATTGATACATAAGCCTGTAGTTTGTCAACCATCACCTAGCCACACCTAATCCTGCCCACTGCCTTCTGGATTGACAGCTCTACTGAAACCTTCCCACTCTAAGCTGCAGTGTCTGGGAGGGGGGGCATGTGAGACACATTTGAGGGATACCAGTAGGCGTACCCCTGAGAACGTGCATGCGCACAAAACGCGTTGTGTGGAGCCGCCATTTGCTGACGTCATGCCGCCGATACCGATGGTCGGAGTGGTGGCCATCTTGGTACACTTTTTATGCTTTTGATTTCTGTCTCCAGGTGGATACTTTTTAATGTTCCAATAAATATTACACTATATCAGGGGCGGACTGACAACTCATGGGGCCCCCGGGGAATAGGGGATCATGGGGCTCCTGTGTCCTTGCCCAAACTCAAAAAAGCCTATGAAAAAGGTACCAGGGGCATCTCATGGGGCCCCCTACTGACCCCGGGCCCTCGGGCAGTAACTGAGTTTCCAAATGGTCAGTCTGCCCCTGCACTATATGCAACTTTATTGGCTCCTCTGGTGAGCTATTCCCTCTAGGACAAGGGCTGACTTCTCATCCGAGTGCCCAGGATGAATTTGGTCCAGTTTAACTCTCTGGTGGCCTTCCATTCTCAGATGTTTAATGCTTGATTGCCTGTTACCAGTTTTCTTCTGGTGAGTGTACATCCGAGAGAGGCGGTGGATTGTTTTGTGTGATCGTCAGCACATTTGCACTCTGCACCTTAATGATACCGCGCCTTATGGTTTCACGGACAATTGCCTCCATTTATGGACATTTGACTATATAAATAGCACGTCTAACAGCGGACATCGATGTAGAGTTTTATCCTATTTATAGATCTCAGATTTTATATGTTTATTGTAACATCATTTACTACTGCACTTACTTACCGGATCACCACGGACATTACTGTATTTAGATTCTGCCCGTGATACACTTTATTGTTTGGCATTTGCTTTTTGAGCTGTTTAACTGATATTTTCATGCTTTTACTTGATGCACTTTACTGTTTCACTCAGCTCATTACATTTATGATGCACTTTACCATATTGTTTGATTTTTCATATTTACTAATGTTTTTTTTGCACTTTTATGCTTTGAACTTTACCATTCCGCAATATATATATATATATATAATAATTATTTTTTTTTTTTGTTAAACATTACACTTTCTTACATATACTATTGTAGGGGAGTGTTACCTTCACCTTGTGTGCTAGCTGCTCCCCAGATATCGCCAGCGCGCACCTATATATATTAGATTCTACTTATAAAGTTATCAGACATATCAGACTGGATGTCGCTCCACTTCCTTAAACTGAACCTCTCCAAAACCGAGTTTCTTGTCTTCCCCCCAGCCCGGACACCACCCCCCATTGACTTCTCCGTCACACCCAACAACGCCACCATCAAACCCGCCCCGCAGGCCAGAGTACTTGGTGTCATTCTGGACTCCAACCTATCCTTCCAGCCCCAAGTCCAATCTTTAACAAACTCATGTAGACTCCACCTCCGCAACATCGCCAAAATCCGCACGTTCCTAACCCCAGAAACCACTAAACAGCTCATCAACTCCCTCATCATATCACGACTCGACTACTGCAACTCCCTCCTCACTGGCCTGCCTCGCCGCTGGCTATCCCCGCTTCAGTCGATTCTGAATACGGCTGCCAGACTCATTCACCTTTCCAACCGCTCCATCTCCGCCACCCCCCTCTGCCAATCCCTCCACTGGCTTCCGATTGCACAACGGATCAAATTCAAAATCCTAACATTGACGTACAAAGCTGTCCACCATACTGCCCCGAACTACATCACTGACCTAATATCCAAGTACCACCCAACACGCACACTCCGCTCCTCACAAGACCTCCTTCTCTCTAGTTCCCTGGTCTCCTCCTCCCATGCCCGCCTCCAGGACTTCTCTAGGATGTCACTCATCCTCTCGAACTCCCTGCCCAAACCCATCAGATTATCACCTACTCTCCTCTCCTTTAGGCGCACCCTGAAAACCCACCTCTTCAGGGAAGCCTACCCCACCCCCTGCTAACTTGCTGACCTCCTCCACTCTTCCTACCACTCCATCCCCCACAGCTATCTCCTCCTGTGCCACCATCCCCTCCCTCCTAGATTGTAAGCTCCAAGGAGCAGGGCCCTCGATCCCCTCATGTATTGTATTGTATTGGTATTGTTCTGTCACATGTTCTGTCCCCCTTTGTAATGTACAGCGCTGAGCGAACTATTGGCGCTTTATAAAATACTGTATAATAATAATAATAAAGTCTGTGCATCACATAACTGGATATGGTACTTGTCCAGACTGTCATTTGTGAGCCTTTTGTGGTCTTTAAAGGTGAATTCCAGGTACGTATTTTATTTTTTTTTTGTATAGTTGGTATAAGTATACATATTCCATACATGGTCAGTCCTTGTGGAAGCAGAGAATCACTGTAGTAGCTGCTGCTACTACAGTCATTCTTTCTGTCTTCCGAGTCCTGTTCCGAGTGGCTGCTCTGCTGCATTGTGAACACAGGAGGATGCTCACTCGGCACTGGAGCCATTCAGAGAACGCGTTTAATCATTCTTAATGAATGCAAAGCATTCTCTGATTGGATGAGATAGAGAGGCAGGGTGGTGACTTTACGATCTCCACCTTGTCCAAACAGAGAGCACCTTAAATTAAAAGGAGGAAAATAAAGGCAATGGCGTCTGTGCCAAACCAGTGACCCCCTGTGTTAACTATGCAGAAGGACAACATGGGACCTGGAAGACAGCAAGAATCACTGTAGTAGCAGCATCTAGTACAACGATTCTCTGCTTCTATATTGGTCAAAGCTGGGTCAATGTAACTATACAAAAGAAAATGTAAAGAAATGTCAAGAATATGTACACCCAGTGGCGTCCCGAGCCAGGTGCAGGGGGTGCGGTCCGCACTGGGTGACACCGACCGCATGGGGTGACACCGGACCCGCTCCACAAAAAGGTAAGTTGTAAAGCAAGCCGACGATCCCCACAGGATGGATCTGATTCATCCTCCGGGGATCGTTGGCTTTCTTTACAAATGCCGACGATACTGCAGGGATCGTCGGCATG